AAGGGGTGCAACAAAAAGTCTAAACTTTTAACACCTTCTTAACTAACCAACTTGTCCTCAATGAACCTTCACCTTGGCTAAGAAGGTAGACTGCATTCTTGCAAAGCAAACTTCCTTGATTCTGTATCTCACTTAGAGTCAGCCAATCTTTCCACTGGCACTCCCTAGCAGGCTATCCTAACTCACTCAATCCCATTCACTCTTCTTCTGTGCCCCTGCTCCTATGATGATTTACTGTTTCCTTTGATCTCTCCTCCCATCAGAATTATCAACCTTGCTATTGTGTTTGAGCATTTCCAGGGATGCTTCTTATCTGAACCATTGTTTCACTTTTCCCCGCTTGATTTCTTTACAATACCTTTTGATCTAACTCCATAGCAAGTAACCTACCATAAAATCTTCATAGGCATGTATTCATGAAGACTACAGGTATTTCCCAGTTCATGCTGTATAGGCCTGTGCTACTCAAACTGGAGTATGCTTGCATCTCAAGATTTGCAACAAAACTTCTACAGGGTACAAAAAGAGGAATGGGAAAGCAGAAGAAAGGACAAATATAAATAAAGGAAAAGAAAGAAAGGTAAAAAAACCTCTATACTCTTAGGCTGTTGGGAGAAGTTATAGCATGATTATAGTGATATAAAAGACACATAATGGTACATATTATAACAAACTTAAAGGGCTACATGAGTTTAAAGCATTGAAAGCCACCTTTGGACCCATTAGTCATAAGCCAACACAAAATTCTTCTAATTAGCAAAAAAGGCTAATGGAGTCAATGTGATCAACACAATTTTTTTAAACATGAGGAAGAGCTACCCTCTGAAAATTTAGTAATGCCTTTTTTAAAACCATTCTTTTAAAAGATAGATATAAGAATTTGATCCCATCCAAGAAGGGACACCTAACCAAGTAATTGACATCATTGATGCTCATAGGATTTCCTTTGGAACCCTCCACCCAAATCTTATTTTGTTCAAAGAAACTGAAGAGCTTAGTAAATCATAGTGAGAACTGGCACTACAAAAAAAAAAAAAAAAAA